TACCTACACATGGATGTACATACACACACCACACATACTCACACATCCACATCCTCTCAGATGCACAGCCACACACACATTAATACACATAAATACATGCACATAGACATATACTCAAACACACACACCACACACACAAGTTTCTGGCTCCTGCCACCACCTCCACTTTGGCAAAACTTCATGCTGTCTCACAAAATTAGGGCTCGGCAAAGAAACATTTGCTTATGTGAGTCAAGCATCACGCTTCCATTTGGCTGCTGAGCCCTTCCTCACACACAAGGAAGTCAGAGGCAGGGCAGGACGCCATTGTGCCAGGTGAAAATGTCTCACAGTATTAGGCCACTTTTACTGGGTATTGCTAAACCTGCACCCAGTGGAAAAAAAGAAAGCTGTATCTGCTGTAGTAGACTGATGCCTTGATTAGTGAATTCCTGGAGAATAAACTCCCTTTATAAGAAATGGGAGTCGGCTCATTTGTTTTCACTTACTTTTGAAGAATACATTTTACTTATTCTGCACAGCACAGCTGCTCTGGTTTGCAGCTGCATGACAAAATATCTCAATAAAAAGGTTTTGTTTTTCGCTGGCCATTTTAAGACTGATTGGGGATAATTCTAGGCTGAGTTATGAAGGCAAATATGAAACAGACTGATTTTCTAGAATTGAGGCACTGAAAGACTGGGGTACTTTGGTACTAGGTCTGACATCATGGTCAGGGAGGTTTCCCAGAGGAGGTGATGCTGAGCAGTGTAACAGAGAGTTAAGATCCTAAGCCCCAGCTTCACCCCTCATAAGCCAAGTGATTTGAGGCTAGTTACTTCCCTCAACACCAACTGTCTCACTTATAACTAGGGTGATAATATTTGGCTCATGGTTTTGTGTCTCTAGGCTTTCAGGAAATTACGTTCTCCTCTTCCCTTTCCACTATGCTCTCCTTCCCCTTTATCATTTGTACTCTAATGTGGGGGGTGGCAGGGAGGGGGGCTAGCAAGGCTCACTCCTCTGGCCTCTGAGTTTCTGTTTACACTCCTTCCCTTGGTTACCTTGCCTTCAAGCCATGTCTCATCCACGCTCCAGCCTAATCTCTCCTGCATTTTCATCTCTGCTGTACATCTCCAAATGGACACCCTGCCCAGGCATTTTGTATTCAACAAGTGCTCAGCCAAATTTTTATTTCTTCCCTAAATTACCTCTTGACTTTGGAACAGAAAATTCTTTCAAATAGGGCCTCTAGTCTCACAGACACCAAACCACTGAGCCGGCTTTAATGCTTTTTTTCCTTGTTCCTTATCAGTCACCAAATTCTGAGTTCTTCCATTGAAATGTATTTGGTTGGAACAAACATAGAAACTCAAATGGCTATAATAATTGTGTCAGGGGTTTTTAAGAGGAACAAGAATGTTTCCTTAATATAGATTTATTAATTTAAAATTAAAGACGTTTCTGTCCTCCAATCTGAAGTCACTGGACCATTGCATAGTTAGCTAAATTGAGTCTTTACTCACAGTCATTCCCACTGCAACATCTTATACACAACTGCCAAATTAACCTCATACTTCCTGCTTAAAATCTTCAACTGGCCTCCAATGCTTCTGAATAGCATAAAATGTGGAAGCCCTCCATTTAAGGCTCTCTCAAGTCTGTTGCCAGCCTATCTTTCAGCCTTTTTTTCCATTAGTCCAATTCAGTTCCCCAAGCTCGCCCTAAACGAAACTCCTTACTATTTGTGGAATCAGATGAGCTTTCCCTGACCCCAAACCTTTGCTCATACTATTCTTATCTTTTCTCATATTTTCCCCATTGCATTGATATTCATTTGCCATATTTAGCTGAATCACTAGGTCGTTAGCCTCTTCCACCCCAATTGCCATGTTCCTTTTTCTCTTTTCTGAACCCCCATACTACATTGATTGTGGCATGCTCACAGTATCTATCATGTAAAACCTCTCTCCTAGGTTACAGATTCTGGAACACAAGTATTGGCCCCTTTTTAGTGTGCTTCTGAGTACTAAGTGGCCCTCAATTTATTAAAAACCTTTGATGTAGTCATTGGATGGTTCCTGGGACAGTGGTGGGAGCCGTGTTTTCTAACCTCTGCCAAAGTCATAGATCTATTTTCTATTTTGTTGAATGTTTTTCAATTTAATTATATAAGCATTGTTTTGGAATTGGAGAGCTCTATAGAGACTATTTTAGTCCCAAACTCTTTCTTAATCAATGGGTTCATGAGTCCCTGAGAATACATAGCTGGTTTTTGGTAGATCAAGTATGAAGGCTCAGCACCACTGCTGACACCAGATGCAGCTGGGTCTCAGATGACCTCCCCAAATTGCCTAATTCAGTGTCCTCCACACAGAAGAAACCTTTGCTGACTGATTCCAACAAAAAGGATGTAGTGTGGTAGGGTAAGATAGGTAAGTGTACTTTTGGGAATCAGACAAACTGGATTTAGATTCTGGCCTGGTCACTTAGTAGCTGCACAGATGTGGGTAAATTGCTTGCCTACACAGCTTATTTCCTCATCTATAAAATGTGGGCAGTTGTCTCCACTTCATGAAGTTGTATTGGAAAAACTGTATATAATGTATATGAAGTGACTGGAACACAACAAATTGAGGCCAAAACAATCTTCAGTAAATTATGAGTTTGCGTATTTAATTTTTCTTAATCATGTATAGATTTTTGTCATAGAACCTTTTTCTAAATTGAATAAATGGGTACCGGATTTCTTTTTTTTTCTTTTTGCAACATTCTGAGGAAATGTTGAAATTTCCTGGGAGTGGTATTACTAACAGTGTTACTAGAGTCCACCCAGTTATTTCTCACAAAATTCCTTTAAATGATGTATTATCAACTAAGTAGTTTGGAAGGTAAATGCTTAGAGCTTTTAGTGTGGCTAATCTGGGTGAGAGACATAATTTTTTCTTTTTTTTTTATATTTGCAGACCTCATTGTTTTCTTCGGATAAAAAGCTATTATATTCACTTAATAAAAACTTAGAGAGCTCTAAGTTAAGTCTTAGGCCTCAAAGTGAAGTCTTCTAACAGTTCCATAACTGGACTTGACCTTCAACTATTCTTTATGATGCCACCTTGCCTTTCACACCAATTCTATGAGCTCAAGCAGGAATGTACATTACCTGCCTATGATGATGTGGCAGAAGGGAGTGGTAGTTAAGGTCATGGGAGGCTCTCTGGAAGAATAAATGAAGACCTGGTATTACTTCTAAAACACTGCTGGGCCCTGATATACTTTGTGTTTTTATGTCAAATATGGGAGTAAAAATAAGGTGTTTTAATATCAAATATGAGGATCATATTAGACGGTTTTAAAAGCACCTCCCCTAACCCCCTTCTAAACTCTAGAGTGTTTTAATACTGATAGGTCATGAAAGCCTATAGGAGTTCCTTTCCTGGAATCTATACAGTACTGGTTCCAGCACTGGGTGACACAAGGTTCCATTCAGTACAGTAAGCATGCGTTAGAGAAAATGCTGTTGTCAAAACTGTTGTTTTCCTCCTTATAAAGCTCATACAAACCAATAAAGAGTGACCAGAAAGCATTTTGGAAAGGATAGGGGGCATGGATTCCACAGCTGGTCTGTGGAACAAGGCATAATTCCAAGTCAGGGATTCCATTGAATTAGGTAAAGTGTTTGAGGGCATAGGAAACCTAGGCTAGGACTCTGTTAACCAGATCAGGTAAATTACTTAAGGGAAACATGTACTTTGAGTTACTCTCCTTGAAGATGAGTAAGTGGCCTTCTCATCAATGTCCTTTAGTGTTTTTGACAGAGACAGTCCTGGGCTGGGTGGATCTTCACTCTGACCAGCACCATATAGCTCTGTGGTTCTCAACCTGGCTGCAAAGTAGAATTACCTGGAGCGCTTTAAATAATCCTGATGCCCAGTCCTATCTCCAGAGATTCTAATTTAACTTGTCAGGTGTAGCTTGAACATCTGGATTTTAAAAACACCCCCCCACCCCGACACACCCCATGCAATTCTAAGGTGTGGCCAGCCTGGCAAACCCCTGGCATATACTTAAGGTCTTCTAACAAACCTTCCTCTTAAAATCCACCATCCTACCATTTAGCTTTCTGGCGCCCAGTTTTTGTTTTGTCATCTTTCTCCCGGCCCTACACACACGCATACTCCACAGGATGGTGACTTTCTATCTGCAGTCACACTACAATAGTCCCTAAGTAGAATTCAAGAGGTGTCCTTGGTATATAAGGAGAGCCCTGGAGACGAAAGCGATTCTCATGCAAACATGGTAAAAACAATGTTCACTCCCTGCTGTGTTTCATGACCTGTTTTCTGGGGTGGTTTCCCACTTGCTGTTTTCGTATTACAAAGTTTCCTAGGAGAAAACACACCGTGGTTTTTATTCTCCCATCCTCTTGTTGGCATTTGACAGACCTCCTAGTTGAAGACACCACGTCCCTGGGTGCGCCCTATTTCTCAGCTCCGGGAGCAAACTCAAATTCCACCGCACATACAGCTCAGCTTTGCAGCACTCAAGTGCGCTTAATTTCCACTTAACCTAATTCAGATTCCCGGGGAGCAAAGCCTGCGCCACTTAACCATCCTCTTCTCTCTTCCGTTCCCCCGTTTTTTTGTTTACTTAAGAAAGCAGATATTTACATTTCCACATGGCGGCTCATTGCAGCCCCCCAACCCGACCCCCGCCCCACCAGCGTTCAGCGCCGGAGAGCTCCTCTCCTTGCCCAGGATCCCTCTTTCCTCTGCTTGGGTCCCCAGAGGCCAGTGACGATGGAGCCCCCGCCCTTACCCGGCCCAGCACCTCGTGTGAGCAAAGCCCTTCTCCACCCATCTCTTTTGGAGATTCAGAGCCCTGGCCCCGCCCAAGGTGCTAATTTAACTCGAATTGCAGAACTACCGGGCGCTGCTCCTACTTCCAGCTCCTGGCTCGAGCCTGCTAGGTCTTAACCTCAGAGACCGCGGAGCCCCGACGCCGGATCCCCGTCCCCGCTCGCCATGAGTCCCGCGCGGCGGAGCGCCCCAATTGTGCTGCGCCTACTGGGCGGGCTGGCCCCGCCGCTGCTGCTGCTGCTCCTGCGTCCTCCGGCTGCGTCGGGTGAGTGGGGGTCGGGGACACCCCACCCCACCCCTCAGGCTAAACCTTTAGGCAGTGTGGGAGGGGCAGGGCTCGTCTCTACAACAACCGGAAAGTCGGCGGACCAGGGTCGCTGAGGAATGTCGGCATCCCTAATTGTTCCCGTAATCCTCTACCTTTAAGGATCAGCGCTCCTACTGGCACGATCCCTGGGGACGGGAAGAGGCTCTCCGCTGCTAGCTGGCAGTTAGGAAGGTTGCTGTGCTGGTCCCCAGCTGGCAGGGTTTTAGGAGTGAGGCGTGGAGGGTACAGGGAGCAAACACCCGGAAGCCAAAAGGTAGGGCTCGAATAGAGTGAATCCTCAGCATCTCCTTAAGGGTGGAAGACCAAATAGTTGACCACTCTCACCTCTCAACAGGGTCCAGTCGTGTACAGACGTGGCGCTACAAGTTTGCGCGTCATCTCCTCCAGGTGTAAAGTTCCAAGGGGGTGTCTGTCTTTATTGTGTGCCTAGCAACAGTATGTATGTGAAAGTCTAAAGCACTATATGTATTTTATATATGTACATATGTGTATATATATGTGTGTGTATATATATATACATATATATATATGTATATGTATATATTAGATAACGAAGGGCAGGAATTTATTTTCGACTGTTTTAGTTTTGAATTAATTGACAGACAGGAAGCCTAGCAAGTTCTCGGTATGTCAGCTGAGCATTGGATGGAAATGTTATGTGGGCATAGAAAGCCATTGCTGCTTCCCTTATTCGTCTTGGGAAAGGAATGCTGCAATGAATTGAAAAGTTGTATTTCCTTCAGTTCTGTTTTTTCCTCCCTAGGTGACTGCAGCCTTCCCCCAGATGTACCTAATGCCCAACCAGCTTTGGGAGCTCTTACAAGTTTTCCCAAACAAAGCACAGTAACGTACAAATGCAACGAAGGCTTTGTAAAAGTTCCTGGCAAGGCAGACTCAGTGGTCTGTCTGAATAATAAATGGTCAGAGGTTGCAGAATTTTGTAATCGTAAGTTTTTCATTTCATTTTAGAAAAGTTATGGGAATGGAATGTTTCTTAAGTTTAATTTTATCTGTGTTTGGAGTGACTGGTAATAGATAGTTTTCTAGCATTATTAATCGCCAGTGCCTGTTGACACTTCACAATCTAGCTAATTGATGGCATTGCTTTCTGCAATAGGTCCTGCCCTTTGTTAAACTTTTTTTTTTCCCCCTTAACACTGTAACTCTTGAACTGAGTAATAGCAAAAATAAACAATAGGTACTGTTTAGGGAGTAAAGTATATATAACTACATTTGGCAATTACCTTGAGACACATAACAGAGATCCTCTGTTTTCTTAAATTTCATTTTGTAAAGTAGGACTTACCCAATACAACTCTGTAGTGATATTTTTTAAAATTCTCAATTTTTATCTCAAAATCTATCATTTTAGGCATAGCCCTAGATTAGCTTTGACATATACAAGTAAAGATAAAGGTAAGACTTGATTCCTGCCTTTGAACAACTTGGAGCAATGGGAGCTACAGTAAAGATAGAAACTGCCACAAGTATTTTTTGAAATCAGGTGTGAGATCAGCTTTAACTTTTTATCTACCCATGATACAAGGCAGGAGGTTGAAGTACGTAAGTCTTTGCACATGTATCATGTTTTAGAGTTTATAACTCTTCTGCATATAGTACTGCATCTAATCCTTCCGACAACTCCCTGAGGTTTGTTAGGGACTTATCCACATTTTACAGTTGAGAAAGCAGCCCCCAGTTAAACAGCTTCCTTGAGATCAGGAGCTCCCTTATGCAGGAGAGCCAGGGTGGAAACTTGAGTCTTTTGACTATAAATCCAGTGCCCCTTCCACTATACCGTGCCACTATAAATTCACATTTGCCTGGATGTTTACAGTTTGTAAATACTTTTAGGTCCACCATTGGCTCATCTGATCCTTGTCCGCATAGGTTGTTCTGAGGATTAAATGAGTTTATATGTGTAAAACATTTAGAAGCACTCAATAAATATTAGCTATTATTGTTAACTATTATCGTTGTCCAGGACACTAGCCCAGGGATCTGGAAATACCAGTTCTCATCTACCCCTGTGCTACATGGGGCAGGGTAAGGGAACTGGCATTAATTGAGTCAGTTCCAGAACTATGCCAGGCAACTTAAATGAATTATATTTTCTAAATTGTGGGCATAGTGACTTCTATGTACCAAATCTACTTCACAGGCCTCTAGTAACTAGGAAATGAAAATTTATATGTGAATATGCCATAGTGACATTAATATAAATACCAAATATGTACAAAGAAGTATAGAAAAAGGAGTGATATAGGACCAGATAATTAAACATAGGTTATAAAATAAAGTGATATTAATTTTTCTGTTGTTGCTTTTGTTAATACTTTTAGGTAGCTGTGATGTTCCAACCAGGCTACTTTTTGCATCTCTCAAAAAGTCTTATACCAAACAGAATTATTTCCCAGAAGGTTCCACTGTAGAATATGATTGCCGTTTGGGCTACATAAGGGACCATTCTCTCTCAGGAAAACTAACTTGCCTTCAGAATTTTACGTGGTCCAAACCTGATGAATTTTGTAAAAGTGAGTATAATTTTTAAAGAGTATTCTTAATCATATGGTGTTTGGGGAAAATAGCGTCTCTTCCTTCACTCATAGTGGAAGTCTATGTGTACATGTTATTATTTAGAATGATTCTTAAATGAACCATTGGAACCATTTTATTTTAAATTAGGGAAACTAAATTCCTGTGAACTAGAAATATTACTTTACTCACTGATTTCTCATTTAATTAGTTTAAGGTTACCTAAAATCAAATAGTGTATAGTCTAAATACGTTGCTTTCTTGAAACTGATAAAATGAAGGTACGATTTAAATAGTCTAAGGATAAGTAATATCAATGGTTTGGATGATGAATTTGCATAGATGTGCCTGATAATTTAATTAAAAAAATCAATTTGTATTCTCTTCTAGAAAAATCATGTGCTAACCCTAGAGAAATAAAAAATGGTTACGTCAGTATAACACATGACCTATTATTTGGATCGCCCATCCATTTTTCATGTAATACAGGGTAAGTTTGGGTATATGAAACACTATATTTAACAAATGGAAAAACAAATTAGGATTTAAGATGGAAGCTTTTAGATTTGTAGCCAGTGTTTACAAGCTAGTAGCAATAAAACCACCGCTCTGTTCAAAGATCCTTTATCATGAACTCATCACAGTTAAATTTAGTAAAATGGGGCAAGAAAGGAAGATTTCTTATAATACCACCAAAATTCTCTCAATGGTTAGATTTCAGTACATATGTGATTCATTATAAAATTTTAAGTGTGATATGTATAGGAAAATACTTGTGATAAGTTGATGATCCTTGGAGAAATTAAATCCTTTCAGTGTTAAATATGAAATCATTCTTTACCTAAATAATGAATTTACATTTGTTTTTTCTATATGCGAACAATCTGTTATAAAATATCATGGGTTAAAAACAATTATTCCTAGTGTGAAAATATCATTCTGACCTAAGATCTTTTATAAGTTCTCTATGCAGGGAAAAGGAACTTACTCACTGAGTATTGTCAGTGTCTCAGGTGCTGCTAAAACCTTTATACTCGTTCTCTCAGTTAATATCTGCAAATTGAATTATGATATTTTATTCTGTGTGTGTATCCCTGTTCTTTATAAAACTATCATTATCACTTGTCTCCTGTACTAAACATAGATGTTTGGATCACTAATATCATTAATATTAAATCTGGGGGTACTTTGAACCCTTTAAATAGAAGTACATTGTATTATTCTATGGTGTCTGTAGTGATCTTTTAGAACTCAGAAATATAAAATATTTAAGCATCTGTATCTTTTAAAAATGTTTTAAAACACTTTACTATTTTCTAACATGTGCCCTACCCAAATCAAAAATATTTTGCCTGTCTTATACTTTTTTTTCTTTTTTTCTTTTTAGTCGGTGAATATTTTTATTAAACTCTACTATGTAAGAGAAGCCTGGGGAGAGCTGCTGGGAGGCAGGCCTGGCAGCTGAGGCTTCTAGAGCAGAGACTCCTGGAAGCACATGGGTTTTCAGTTTCCTTCTGCTTGAGACGCTGCCTGGCAGCCCCAGGTTCCCAGGTTTTGTCCAGAATGAATTTGTTCCTGCCACCTCCTCAGACAGAAATCTGGGTCTCTGGACCAGTCCTGAAATGAGGCCCCTGAGTGGCTTTGGAACAGGTCCTCAACCTCCACTGAACTGATGGTCCATTTGCTTTGAAGTCACAGCTGGGTCTTTTCCTGCCACATTTTATTAGGAAGATAAAACTATGTACAGGACACATCGGTGTCGGGGTTGAGGGGCTCCCTGGAATTTCTACAAGGAGGCCCACGGCTGGAAGAAGTTCTCTTGTCCACCTGGTGCCTGGAAAAGGGCCGGGTGCGGCCCAGTACTCAATTCCTTCTTGCTTGTCTTTGATGGCCACCCAGAATCGCTCTTCCAGCAGGGAGAGCTCACTAATGAGGTCTGTGATGGCATTGGTGAAGGCCTCCTGGGGGCTGTACTCCCTCTGCATGCGGATGATGGATCTTGTGTTCCAAGGTGGGGGGAGGGGTGTGCTTTGTAGCCAGCAAAGAGCCCTGTGGGGTCCATCAGCAGCTGCGATTTAATGATGTTTCCTAGAGTAGTCTTCCTTGTTGATGGTGAACAAACAGGCAGTGGGTACCTTGGTGTCCTTGTTAATGGTGATCTTCTTTTTGCCCTCAAAGAGCGAGAAGGACTCGAAGGTGGGAGGGGCGTTCATCCTAGCATCGCAGCCGCCTCCAAAGCCACCCTTTTTTATTCTTTAATATCACCCTTTTAGATATAATTTTTTGTTTTCCTTTAAACTGCCATATGGACTTTTATCAACTATTGTTTTGTCTCTATCTACTGGTGTCATAAATATTTTAAGATGATATTCTGGAGAATTTAAGGGAAGTCACATATGTATGAATGGAACTTAAATTTTTTTCTTCCCTCATTGTTTTAGGTACAAATTAGTTGGTCCAACTTCTAGTTACTGTTCTCTTGCGGGAAATACTGTTGAGTGGAGTGATCCATTTCCAGAATGCCAAGGTAAGACTGAAAAATTCTAAGCACTCAGGTGTGGGACTGAATAATTAATAATAAATTGCTTTCTGCTCTTTAAGAATAACCCACAGTATGTATCTGTAGTACCCTCACCTTCCAATGTGTGTGTGTTTTATGTAATTTAAAGATCTCTATTAGTAATGCTTCTTAATTTATTAACTGATTAAAAACAAACTAAGGTTTGTATTGTGCTTGGTCACCTTACCATTCCTTCTAAGAGTCAAGTAAAATAGATATGGGTTTTTTCCCCCATAATTTTTAATTTTATGGATTAAAATGCTATTGATCAGAGGGTCTGTATGACTTGATCCTGTATGCCAAAATAAGTGGCAAAAGAAGGCATTTAACCCAGATCTCTTGATTTCAAACCCGTAAGTCTTCTAACGCCTAGTGTTACCTATGTGTTCCTTTAAGGATTATTAACTGAGGTAGTTATGTAGAAGTGTTTTAAAGTGTGGTATATTGTTTTATCATTAGAGAAATAACCTTATATAATAAAGAAGAAGTATGGTTTCTGCACTTGAAAATCTTATCTTCTCAAGGGGGGAATAGGACACAGAGATAATTTCCTAAATGGATATTTCAAGTTAAATGTATGTGTATTAGAGACATATATCTCCTGAAAATTGAGAGGAATAAATATATGTAATATTCTAAAAAGTAGGCTTTATTTCTCTCACTGTCATTAAAATTATTGCTAAGTGCAAGTTTTGGAGGTTATTAGGAGCAGGAAACTAGAGTAGATGCAGTGTAATTTATCAAGCATTTATTGACTGACACTCTATGGTAGGGAATGTGTGGGGTCAACTGATATGAAGACAAATAAAATGAAGCCTTGCCAACAAGGAGTTTACTCCAGCCACACCCATCTGGCGCCCCGCCCTCCCATAGCTACTATTTCTCCCTTTTTCTCATTATTATTTTCAAATATCCATCATTACTACCCACCATCACCTTTCCTATTTCCACCATCCAGTAAGGGATGCTATAAATGATACTGAACCAAATATGGAAAGCAAGCAGGGGCTGGACCATATCTTTTTCTAACACAGGCAACAATTTGTCACAAAGCCTGAACAAGTGGTTTCCCAGTTGAGGCCAATATCTTTACCAGCAATTGCTGTCGTGAGTGTCAGAAATGTGGACACCAAGCACGTATTCCAGCATAGAAGAGCTTTGGTACTGCAAACCCACTCTCTTTTCATGCTTGCCCACAGCTAGGCCAGGTCCTACTCTCTGTCTGGTATTTTCAACTCTGTGGTGAACATCTGATGTTCATATTTTCCTCTTTGATTCTTTTATCTGTCTCTGCAACTTAGCAAGCACTGACATCTGAACCCTGCAGGAAAGAGCCCTTTTTCCTCAGCAACCCCAGTGTCTTCAATTATCCCTATTAAAGCCCTGCTTCTCCTAAGCTTGATTTTCCACATAACTTTTCTGTTTTGACAGTGCCAAAAACATCAAGTGGAAAGTATAAATTCGTAAGCAATGAGCTGTTTTACCTCAAGTATGCAGCCCTGGCCTCTATCAACACATGAGACAACATTGATGTCCATGTGTGGATGTGGATATGGAGGTGTGGATATACAGAACGAATGAACAATGGACATATTCAAAAATTATCCTTGGTTATACATCAATCAAGAGTGATAGTTGTTCACCTCTGAACAAAGCCTCAGTATCAGAAAGATCTGTTTTCCTCTCTCTGCCAATATTTTCTTTTTCAAAAATAATTTTAGTGGACTGCTAGTACATGCTAGCCTGGAATCAATCCCTGCTATATAATATCTGTCATCCCGGGCCCCTCTCTTTATCTTCTCACTTCTAATCACTAAATCATTTTCCTTTACTCCTTAATCTATTTCTCAAACCTGTCTTTTTTTTTTTTTTTTTGCGGTACGCGGGCCTCTCACTGTTGTGGCCTCTCCCGTTGCGGAGCATAGGCCTCCGGACGCGCAGGCTCAGCGGCCATGGCTCACGGGCCCAGCCGCTCCGCGGCACATAGAATCTCCCCGGACAGGGGCACAAACCTGTGTCCCCTGCATCGGCAGGTGGACTCTCAACCACTACGCCACCAGGGAAGCCCTCAAACCTGTCTTTTATCTTCCACCTATAACACTTTTAATATAGTTTATTATCCCTTGTCTGGACTATTGCGATAAGGGCTACCCCTAACATTTTCAGGGTCCAGGACAAGGGTATAAATGGAAGTCACTGGCCTAAGACACAGCCTTTCTCAAGTCAGTGCCCCCTTCTTGCACTGTGAGGGGTCTCTGATGCGTGTAAATGGATAGCTCGGCCTACACACCAAAGTCACGTCCCCTGTAACTCTTATCCCCACTCCATTGAACTTTGGCCTAAAGGTGAACACATCCACAGTATAGACCATCCTCAAGAATATGGACCAGGCGAAGACTTGAAAGGGGTGTTGGCACAGGGAGTTCTGGCTGCCAGTTCCTGGAGCATGATTTAGAATGGGGTGGGGGAGGAACTCTCATTGAACATACCCCCTCAGCCCTGCAGATTCCCCATCTAGTAGAGAGAGGCACAGCCAGAGGAGGGCCAGAGCATGGCCTTGTATGCTGTGAGAGCTAAGGCAGGAGTCCCATTTGCTCGAGTTCAAAACTGATACTGATTGCAGTGGCCTCCAGCCTCCATTCTTACACTCCATTAATGTTTCATCTATACTCTACCTAGTGATCCATCTAAAACACGAATGTGACTTGTCTCTTTCCTTGTTAAAGCTTATTAGTGTCTCCTCATCGTGTACAAAGTCTAAACTCCTCCATATAGTGTTCAAGGCTAGACATGGTCTACCTGCTTCTCCATGCTTATGTCTTGCCCTCATCCTTTGCAAACTTCTGTAGTTGTCCAGATACCTCAGTCTTCTTCATGGCCTCCCATCATTCCTTGTGACACTGCCTCTGCCTGGAATGTCCTTCAGCCCCTTTTATGCTTAGTTTTTTTTTTTGTTTTTTTCTTAAGGGTCTGCTCTTGTAGTTCTCCTAGAAGCTTTCCCTGACCCCCCCCAGGCTGGTTAACTGTCCCTCTCTCTCTTTCCACACCACTGTGCATGCTTTTGTGATAATCCTCACCATTTTGTATTGAAATGATCTCTTTGTCTTTTTCCACTGTATTTTAAGACAGAGGAACTGTATCTTATTCGGTTTTGCACTTCTATTTATAGAACAATGCCCGGTATGTAGTAGGTGCTCAGAAAATGTTGGAACTGAACTGATGGTAATATGTGTTGTCATCGCCCACCCAGCCCAGTGTAAATCAGATTAACTTGTTCTTGTTCTTTGCTTTGATCAATGGCCTAAAAATAATTTGTAAATTGCTAGTATTCTCTGGGTACTTAAGAGTATTTGTGTGATATAATTTGATGTTCACATATGATCACATTGCTTTCCTGCTTTAAAAAAAAAAGAGAGAAAGAAAGAAAGAAAAACAACTTCCTGGCTCCAGAGAATGTGGAACCATTGAATTTTTTATTAGGGCAACTGTGAGGGAGAGGCTTCTTTTTATAATATAACAAGCAATACTCTGCTTGTATTTGCCTTACAAATTCAGCTGCTCAGAAAGATTTACTTTAAATAAAAGGCCAAGAGTTAACGCATGCTTAAAAAATTTTACCCTGAAAGTCAAAGTCTAATCTGACATTTAAAATCTTTTGCTCTATCCAAAATTCCTGTTTCCCAAGCTTGCCACTTAACATTCCCAACTCCTTTCATTTGGCATCTTTTCTCCTTGGAATGAAAAGCAGAGCCCTCTTCTCTGCTCTGCTCTACATCTTAGGTTTAAACTCAAGTCCATTTACTCCCTAAATGGAAATCTCTGCCCTGCTTTCATCTCACCTCTGAGATGAGATGCTTAATTTAGAAGAATAAGTTTTTTTCTGTAAATAAAATCTTTAACAAATTTTAGTCTTACTTGTTTATAAAAATACTTTGCCAGTTTAATTAATTTGAAATACGTTGGGATTTTTTTAAAGAAATTTTATGTCCAGAACCACCAGAAATTGACCATGGAATGATTGAAAAGAAACAAAACAGTTATGCATATAGACAATCTGTAACATATAAATGTATGAAAGGCTTCACCCTGCATGGAGAGAGCTCTATCAATTGTACTGTAAAAGATGACCAAGGAGAATGGAGTGGCCCCCCACCTGAATGCAAAGGTAATCAGTTTGCAGAGTTATATTTCTGATTTATTCTTGCCCTTAGGTCTATATATGGGCATCTGAGAATCTATGAACTCCCTGAGAAATGAATGTAAAATGTTGTGCATATGAGTATTCGCATTTTTCTGGGTGATACAGTTTTTCATCAGACTCTACAAGGGGTCTATGACTTCGAAAAAGGACGAACCACTGATGTGGAGAACATATGGTAACATATAAATAAATAAATACACACTTGACCTTTATGAATATATATATACACACACACATACACATACACATTATATGTCTCATGTTTTTAGTGAATTAGCTTAAATTTGCTGTTTCTTACCATGTTACTTTCAGTAAGTTAATATAGATATCTCTTTGTTTATACAAAGAGTATATAAAGTGGTTTATTTTATTTAATTGGGAGAGAATCTTAGATTGAACTAAGGGATCTAGATAATGATTATATATGTTGTGACAACGAAGAGAAACTCTTGCCTACCTGCTGACTTCATTGAATTATATTATATTTGTTTTCTGCCTCCAGAATTTCTCTCTTATTGAGAATGCTCTCTTCTTCATCTTTCTAGACCTCTTCTTCCCTCAGTGCTTTTTGATACTTAGGCTGTACTCTCAGAATCTTTAGAACTGCTTTTATTTTATTTTTTTTTTGCGGTATGCGGGCCTCTCACTGTTGTGGCCTCTCCCGTTGCGGAGCACAGGCTCCGGACGCGCAGGCTCAGCAGCCATGGCTCATGGGCCCAGCCACTCCGCGGCATGTTGGGTCTTCCCGGACCGGGACACGAACCCGTGTCCCCTGCATCGGTAGGCGGACTCTCAACCAATGCGCCACCAGGGAAGCCCTAGAACTGCTTTTTAAGTATATTTTTGAAGAGATATGTAGAAGATCAATGAAGCTGATTATAACACTGCACAGGACCAGGAAGTGGCATTTATTTAAGCAGTGTCATATTTGAATGCCAATATAATTCAAGCAAATACTACTTTTATAATTATACTTGAATTCTATTAGCATGAATTTTTAAATACTATTGCTTGTTAATCATAGTTTTTTCATATAAATGGTATACATAAATATAGTGAGGTAATATTAAAACCATGTCGATGATTGTATAAAATGAGAAGTAAAAGTCTACTCCAATCTTACTCTCAGAAGTAGCCACTGTTTACAAATTTTTGTGTTTTATTCTAGAAAATAAATATACATACACATATTTCTTTTTTTAAATCATATTCATTGTATGGATATATTATTTATTTAACCAGTCTCCTATTGAAGGGAATTTAGTTTTTGTTCTAGTTTTTTAAAAAATTATTTTACAAAAGGTGCTACAGTAAATGTTATTGTATATCTGTTCATTGTACATGTGTGCAAGTACATTTTTTACAATAAATTCCTTGCAGTGTAATTACTATATCAAAGGTATATGCATCTAAACTTTTGAAACATTAACAATATTGTTTCCAAAGAAACTGTACCAATTTACTGTCCCACCAATATTATATTTTTGTTCTCTGCACCATTAATGAAAATGGTTATTATGATATGAAGATGTGATAGTATAAGTGGTGAAAATTTCATTTAATTGTTGAATTCATTTAATTGTGAGTAAATTTTGATATTTTAAAATTTAGCCATTTGATCCACTTCATATTTACTTTCCCCTGTTTTATTAAATCATCAGTTATTTAGAGCTTACAACTCTATGGCAGTGCCCAAGGAAGTCATGGCAGGCCAGTGCTCCCATGACAGTGACTGCAAAACCTGGGTAGATTTATTTTTTTTTTAAATCATATTTTAAAGGCATAGGTTGTTCTCTCAGGGGAACAACTAGAGCTGAATGAACTAAAATTCCTGGGGGTAGGGAGTGAAGGCAAACCATTCTGAGGCCCATCTGGACTGAGGATCCATCTTGACACAGATAAAAGACCATTGCCAGGAAAGAGAGACTCTAGCAAAGCTTTCAATAGTTGTGGTGAGCTAGGATAATGCACTGGAAATTGGAAGTCCTTGAATGCTGACCCAGTTTTTCCCAAGAACCATTTGCTGATTTCTGGGAGTGCAGGTGAGACTGGAGAGCTAGACCCCAAGCTTCCAAAGTACAAAATGAGATCTCCCTGAACCTTATGGTATTTGGACAACAAACCCGTCACAGGAAGAGGCTTGTATCAAGCATACAGCCAGTGTCCTCCTTATGACATTTAAGCTCATTTTGAAGCTGTGTGAGGAAGGAGGCTACGTTGCTGGACTGGGACACTGCTGAAGGACAGACCTGGCTCTCCTGCAGTCTCTCAGGGCTGAGGAAACAAAGATCCACCAGGCTGTCAAATCAAAAACCCAGAAGGTCCACTTCTAAGGAGCAGAGACAAGAGCAGAAGTAGACTGAGTCTTACAGAATCAGTCCCTCATAGGCTGAGTCCCTCATAGGCTGAGGATGTAATCACTTCAAACCTATCTGCCTATCAGAAAAGGAGACCCTCCCTTTGGTGGATCATATCATCTGAATTGTATAGCATATAATAAAAAATTATTAGATATGGAAAGAAGCAAGAAATTATAACCAAATTAGGAGAAATGAAAATCAAATAAAAAAGATGTGGAGAATTGAGTCAGCAGACAAGGACTTTGAAATAAATGTTTAATATATTTAAGATACTAACAGAAAAGATAAATAGAGAACTTCAACAGAGAATTGGAATCTATAAAAATGGTGTGAAATAGACATTCTGCAATGGGAAAATATAATATCTAAAATTAAGAGCACAATAGATAGGTTTAACAGTGATTTGGATGTAGCAGGAGACAGTATTGGGAACTGGAAGAAAGGTTAATTAAAACTGAAGGACAAAGAGAAAAATGAATGTAAAATATAGATCAAATTTAAGAGACATTTGAGACATGTTAAACTCTTCTAACATATGATAAAAAAGAGAGGAGAGAGAGAGAGAGAGAGAGAGGGAAGCAGAAGGAATACTCTAAGAGATAATGACTGAGAATTTTCCCAAACTGATGAAATACATCAACCAACAGATTCCAAAAGCTCTCAGGACTCTAAGCAGAATAAAACCAAAACCACTTCCAGGCACCTCATAGCAAACTTTGGCAACTTAAAGCAATGATAAAAGCACTAAGAGACATTGTTTTCAATTCTCATTTTACAAATGAGAAAACAAGCTTAGAGAAGTTGACAACAGTCTCTAGTATGTGGTCAAACAGGCTTAGGCACTGCTCAGTACTGCCTTATGATGGAGACTGCGTAAGCAACCCAAAATCAAACAGGCACTGAAGGCCTAAAATTTTAATGTTAGATTTGTGACTCTCAGAATAGGATCTTCACAGAATTTGCACTTGAGATATTTATTGTCTCACCTAAAATCCAAAGAGGAACTAAACTAACCTATGTAAAGTTGGTAACCAACACAAGAGGAGAAAAAGGGAGTTATTTTATTCTAATTGAATTTATTGCTTTAAAAAAGAAGTGAAACAAAACAAGTTCCCAAGGTCACTAACATGTCCTGAAAGCTTTGGAAAAAGTAACTATGTTGTGATTATCTTTGTTGGTTCAAGGTTGCATCCTGCTGTTCTTTGGTCTTGGCATGAGGTAAAAAAGACAATTTATGAGAAAAACTATCTTTATTTGGGGTGTGTCACAGAATGAGATCACTGCCAACTCTGACTTTGGTTTCCTTTTTCACATAGAAAACAGTTTTAAGAACCTCAACACTACTTGGGTGTAAATTCACTTTAGTTGCCTAAGTATATAATTTATTTCAGAGCAAAGACAATATAGCATTTTAGTTCTTTGGGAAATACATGAGAATACTTGGTTTCCTAACTATCATATTTAGTTGTTTGTGAGGAAAGAGAAGAGTCATAGAGCAAACAATTGGTTCCTAAATTTTAACTTGGACAACATTATTTAGCTAATTTTTTAAATAACATTTTTCCTCCACAGAAACCTTTCAAATTTACAAAGTCACACCAGCAGTTCAGAAACCCACCAGAGTACATGTTCCAGCTACCAAAGCCCCATCATCTCAGAAATCCACCACAGTGAATGCTCCAGCTACAAAGGTCCCACCAACTCCTCAGAAATCCACCACTGTAAATGTTTCAGGTACAGAAGCCCCACCAACTCCTCAGAAACCCACCACTGTAAAAGTTTCAGCTACAGAAGCCCCACCAACTCCTCAGAAACTCATCAAAATAAATTCTTCAGCTACAAAGTCCCCACTAGTTTCTCAGAAACCCACCACTGTAAATGTTCCAGCTACAGAAGTCTCATCAGCTCCTCAGAAACCTTCCACAGCAAATGATTCAGCTACAACAGCCCAAAATTCCCCCATATCAAACACTGTCTCTACAGCAGCTCAGAATCCCATCATGGCAAATGCTTCTGCATCACAGGCCACACCAACAACCCAAAGATTCACCATGGCAAAATCTTCACTTACACAGAATCTTAGAGCAACACAAAAGTCCACTGCTGTACATACCCCAGTGATCAAGAGTCTCCATGCAACACAAAGATTGACCTCTGCTCATGTTACAGCAACAAGGAGTCCAGCTGTTTCCAGGGCAATCACACGTTTTCATGCAACAAGCACACCTAAAGGAGGAGGAAGCTCTCCTTCAGGTCAGTTGACTACTCTGTTCAGGTTTCCAAGTATGGATTTTATGTGCTATGGTGGAAATTTCAAATTGTTTGGGATTATAAAATTAAATAGTCTCTGGTTTATTGTAGGCAGAGTTTCTTCATACTGATGTTCTGACTTTCTTCAGAGGCAGACTTGGATTGTGCTAGGGCACACCTTTAAGAAAGAAACATTTTGCAGTAATATAGAAAAATGTTGTGGCTCCATAAAAGCAATGCTAAATGAAGGTCGGTGAAGAAATTCTGTTTTTGATGTTAGCTTTAGGGAGTCACTGAATTCCTCAAGTCCCTTCAAAGAACCAAATATGTATAATCCTTAAGGTTTATTTCTGGGTCTGATTCACTGACAGAGACCCATCCTTCAAGCATGCTAAAGGAACTCTCCAGATTCCCTAGAGTTGCTAATTTGGTAAAGCACCTTAATAGTATCTTCTAAGTAATTAAAAACAGAGTTCTTTGAAATAGTTCATATTAACTCTTTAAATGACAGTTTTCATGAAAGCAGAGTAAAATATGCTGTAGGTTTCAGAAAAACCTGTTGAGTGAATGAAACCCCTCTTACTAATTAATGCTGTTTCAGACCACCCGGATGTCTTCTTGTTTTACAACTTGCTTAATGTATAGCTATATTAATAGACATTCTTGTTCTCTAATAGAGATATGTGGTTTTTGTTTGTTTGTTTAGATTTTTGGAAAATCTCAATAGGACTGAGCCAAGAGATAATTTTTTAAATTATTTTCATTTTTCATTGATGTCAACACACAGAAAACTGTGTAAAATATACATATAAGGCTTAATAACTTTTCTAAAGCAAATATTGGTATAACCACCACATATTTCAAGAAATAGAGCATCAGCAACCCCTCACTTTCCAGATGCCCTGTTGATTCTGAACTCTATTCTCTGACTTCTCCAACCAGTGAGACTGTGGCTTTCTGCTCCCTGCACCAAGTGGCCTAGGGATTTCCCCCTGCAGCATCCATGCAAATCTCACTCCCTGCAGCTTAACCCCTGCCTGAGCTCTTCAGCTTTGATTAGTTTCTGAGTTTGTTTGCTCTTCCATGCCTTCAAATCATTGTTACTGTTGTTTTTTTAATATTTTGTCCAGATTTCATAATTGCCATGATCAAGTTCATTTGGCCATTACCCAGAATCTTTAAGAACTTAAAACATTACAGGTATTATTGTTGAAATTTCCTTTGTATGTTTCTTTATTCCTTTAGGTAAAAGGCCAAATACCCACAAATACACAAACTCTCACTCCATTTAGTTCCCCTCTTTAAAAGGGGAACTTCAATTCCTGACTTCTTAAAAAAATTTTTATTGAAGTATAGTTGATTTACAATGTTGTGTTAATTTCTTCTGTACAGCAAAGTGACTCAGTTTTTTATATATATATATATATATATATATAAATACATACATACATATGTATGTTTTCTCATATTCTTTTCCATTATGGTTTGTCACAGAATCTGCCTGCTTTTGATCACTCTTCAGTGGCATCAGATACTTGTGTTTTTTAGAATCGTGTTTTATACATTATGACCATACTTTCATAATGATTTCATACATTTAATAATGGTTATCTTGAGACCTATTTTGCCATTACCTGAATATTTTTAGGAACTTAAACATTACATATCTTACTGTTAAAGTTTCCTTGCACATTTCCCTGCTCCCATTTCTCTTGCTCTAAGGCAATCACTGCAAGCTTCCTCTCTGTTTTTATTCTTGTGCTACATGTATGTCACCATAAGTAGTATATATTATTGTTTTAAAAAAATTTTATTTTATATTGGAGTATAGTTGATTTACAGTGTTGTGTTAGTTTCAGGTGTACAGCAAAGTGATTCAGTTATATATATCTATTCTTTTTCAGATTCTTTTCCCATATAGGTTATTATAGAGTACTGAGTAGAGTTCACTGTGCTATACAGTAGGTCCTTGTTGATTATCTATTTTATATATAGTAGTGTGTATATGTTAATCCCAACTTCCTAATTTATCCCTCCCCCCAACCTTTCCCCTTCGGTCACCATAAATTTTATGTTCTAAGTCTGTGAGTTTGTTTCTGTTTTGTAAATAAGTTCATTTGTATCATTTTTTTAGATTCCACATACAAGTGATATCATGCAATAGTTCTCTTTCTCTGTCTGATTTACTTCACTCAGTATGACAATCTCTAGGTCCATCCATATTGCTGCAAATGGCATTATTTCATTCTTTTTTATGGCTGAGTAATATTCCACTATATATATATATGTACCACATCTTCTTTACCCATCCATCTTTTGATGGACATTTAGGTTGCTTGCATGTCTTGGCTGCAAATAGTGCTGCAGTGAACATTGGGGTGCATGTATCTTTTCGAATTAGAGTTTTCACCTTCTCTGGATCTATACCCAGGATTGCTGGATCATATGGTAACTCTGTTTTAGTTTTTTAAGGAACCTCCATACTGTTCTCCATAGTGGCTGTACCAATTTACATTCCCACCAACAGTGTAGAAGGGTTCCCTTTTCTCTACACCTGCTCCGGCATTTATCGTTTGTAGAATTTTTGATGATGGCCATTCTGACTGGTGTGAGGTAATACCTCATTGTGCAAGCTTCCTCTCTGCTTTTGTTCTTATGCTACATGTACGTCACCATAAGTAGTACATATTATTGTTTTGTATATTTTTAATAATTTAAACAGTATGTCATATATTTCATTACCTAACGACTTTTTGCACTCAACATTGCTTTTGTGGCTTATATTGATATATTTAGATTCAGTTCATTAATTTTGACACATATGTGGTTACTGAATTCTTAAAATTTTATGGCATCTCTGGGCCTAAAAGTTTTAGGTTGAATACATCCAACTTTTAATAGGGCAAGGCAAAGAGAAACAAGTTCCACCTTATATAAATTTGTTATAGAGCTAAATTTGTTGAAATATTTTTTTCTGCAAGAACACAAGATAATTTAACAAATTTAACCTAAACCTAAGTTAATTATTATGATAAAAATGCAAACAAATATTTGGGATCAAATTTCTCTCATATACAATTAATTTACCCTTTAAATATTATTTACTTTCTTTGCTCTTATTGAAAAAATGATAGCAGCTACTACTTACTGTGTTCCATAGTGTCATGTACCATGCACCTTCCATTTTTTAGTATTAATCCTTACAATAACCTTGACTTGCCATCAAGTCATACAACCAAATTTACATGGTGTTTGTTTCAGTATTCAATAACTCATTATCGTATTTTATGTTTATAGTGTTGACTCTGTTTAACAGAGATAGCACTGCTATATATGTTACTTGATTAAGTTAATAATGTATAATTGTTTTCATCAATTTATTTACAATTATTTCTTTTAGTTATGAAAATCTGAGTTACTTTTGAACTTTCAAGTACAGTTGTTGATAAATTTATATATTTGTTAAATTGCTAGCAAGTCAATGACTTTAAAATATTTTTATTTTTGTAATTCTTTCCTTTTTTTTTTTCTTTAGTTGCTAGCATCATTGCATCGGGTAAGTGTGGCTCTCTGGCAGTTAACAGAACTTGTCCTCGCTTTCGGATGTGTAATCTATGTTCCTGGAAAATTATATTGTCTTTTAAGTGTCTTAGGAATACTATTAAAATACAGTGTTTATGGATGCCAAAGAGAAAACAGGTAAATGCATTTTATCGATGTGTTTTGTACTACCATCAGGTGCTTGGTACGTTCCTAAGTATTCCCCACCATGTTCTTGTTCCAAGGTAATTTTAGGACAACTTCAAATCATTTGGCCAATTGATCAAGTATTATTGTGTGCCTGTTGTCTCAATACATCTCATTCTAGTGGCTAAAGAACCACAAGAGGAGAGAGTTATCAATACAGTTTCTATCCTCAAGTATTTTATAATTAATCATAAACTACTCCTTGACCATTTCTGGATGTCTGTCTTATCCCAAGTAAAACAAAGAGTCTTACCTTTGGTTATATCCTCTTCATTTTCCCTTCCCTGTCAATGGTTTAAAGTTATCTTTAAAAAGTATTCTGTTGCTATAGGCATGAGGCCAAAAACATACCTGTGTTACAGTTTCTTCTAGCATTTGGTCTAGTCCTTTTCTTGTTCATAAATAAATTATTTGATGTTATACATTAACAAGATTAATAAACTCCTAAAGCAGATGGTAAAAGAAATGTTTGTTAAGAAGCAATACAGCTAAATAGGCATATATTGATAAGTAATGTCTAATGGAAAATATTAAAAAATGAATTTTTGATTTATGTGTTAATAAGCTGAAGTCTCCTATCTTATGCATGCATAAATTAGCCAAGGGACTATAAAACTGAAAGCAGGTACTTGTTTTATTATTTTCATTGTTATTTATTATAGTTTTTATATTTTAAATGAACCTCTTTTAAGCTAAAAGATTTATGTTGAAAGATTCCAACAGTTAGAATTCACTTTGTTCATTCTATACTTTAAATAAAAATAAATGTATTCTAAATAAAAAATCTCATGATTTAATGATTTGATGACATTTTTAATAGATGAGCTTAAAAATTTAATAGGTGAGCTTTTTCTTACAAGCTCAGTGGCATTCAATGAAGGTTTGAGGTGCTTATTATTTTCTCTGAAATTCTTTAAGTGTATACTGTGTGTTTTCCCAGAAACCTACCCTTGGGGTTAGTTTTAATTCCAACATGTGCTCAAAAATAAAGAGGAACTCCTTCCCTCTTCTATCAGACATATGACAATATTTTTCTTTAGGATACTATACTTGTAAAATATAAACCTGAAAATTATTGATATTTTTACTTCTTAAATGTATTCTGTGAATGAGGTCACTTTTCTCATTTTAAAGACAAACTCTATAGCAAGGAAATTGCTTTTATTGATTACACTGCAGTGCACATGAATGATACAAATGATATTAGAACTTTGCAAGTATTTAATATTTTTCCTATTTAATTCTGCTAAGAAGTAGAGACTGACGACTCTTCCCAGAACTTTGTAATCTGCTATGTAAGTGAAGCCTGCATTTTGATTTTTAAAGCTATTCTCTGCTGGCTCTGTATCAGTGTTTTACAAAAAAGTTTTTTTTCATTATTACCCTCTCCCCCTCAAGGAGCTTTTAAGGCATTTTTTCTTAATCATCCCTATGAAATAGTAATACTACAGATGTAATATAAATCTATTTATGTACTGTATGCACATTTGTACTTTATACATAAAAAAGTGAGATTATTTTTTCCCCTCTAGGGATGATAACAACCCCATTGAGAATACATGCTCTATATATTTGTGGGGTTTTTGTTTTTGTTTTTGTCAACAGCGTCATATAGAAGGAAGACTTGTGCTTTGGAGTCAGTCAGACCTTGGTTTCAATCCTCTTTTGGATTTTTTTTTTCCATTTAGTAATAATTCAACCCAAGTGATTTACTTAATCTATCTGACTCCCAATTTTCTCATTTATGAGATGGTGATAATGATTCCTATTTAAAGTCTTGGAAGCTTAATGAGATAACGGATGTGAAAACTACTAGCATAGTGCTAAAAATTGAATAAATCCTAGCTTTAAGAATTCATTTTTATTTTATCACTATTTTCCTAAGATGGATTTCTGATAATTTTATCATTCTCTCTGGCCACACCAAAGAATAAGAACAGTCCTTTATTAGAGCAATATTTGTGTGTTTGGTGTGTGATGAGGACTGTACCGAACTATGCCTACATATTATTTCATTTACTTCTCACAACAATCCTATAATGTAGCTATGTCCCACTTTTTAGCCGAGAGAACTGTGACTTTGCAAGATTCTTAACTTGCTCAAGGTAACACAGCTATTAGGCTCTTAAATAGACGCAGATGACTAGCTTCTTCAGCACTATTACTTGAAAGGATAGAAAAATTCTTCTCCTAGAGCTACACAACTCAAATTTGACAATTAAGATAGTCCTGATTCTTTACAAGTATTGCTTTTTTCCCCTTTATTGCTGAAATCCTATAATGTGACATTCATAAATCCCTTGTGGGAATTAATAGTTCAATTGGAAAAATATTAAAGAAAAAATTAGAGAATGCTCAATGAAATATCTAAAATACTTTTTCTTTTAAATATCACATGCTTATTGACTTATATCTTTATGTTAATAGGATTATAAGGAAGAACAAAACCTATTCATAGCTTTCTTAGTTTTTCATAGTATATAGACTGCATTTCCACTTTATGAGATGTATAAGTGAGACCTTTCAAAATGACTGGATGAATCCACATTTCTTCAGGAAGGGAGACAAGCCTCCTTTGATAATACCAGATCTTGTAGTTAGGTTCTGACTTGGGGTGTTCGGGAATGGAGATGATACTCTATATATTAATGTAATACCCATCTAATACAAATTTTGTTTGAGTAATCTCAGGCATTTTTATTGAGAATATTGTGAACAGTTAAAATCATGCCCTGAACCAGGGGTTAGAAATAGGTTTTCCCTGGTGATAAACTGTTTGTCTTATTCATTTTCAGTCTCAGTTTTCTCATCTGTGAAAAGAATATCATGCAATGCAATTTAATAAATATTTACTGAACACTCTTTACTATTTACAAGTACCATGCCAATTATTGGAGATAATGAGATAATAGGTGACAAATTGCCTTGCAGTGTTTTAAGTACCAGGTAAATATAATTCTACATAATGGGGAACATTACTAAACTACTCCTTTTACATTTTCTAAAATTATGTAGTTTTCCTACCTATGATCTCTTCAATGAATAATTAAGAACATTGGAATTGTAATCATAGTTTCATTTATAATCTTATAGCTTCATGTAGCTCAAGTTGTGTCAATCTTAAATTAACACTGATTCACTTTTGGGTGAATGTTAAGATCATTGCCTTTATACTTTAAAGTTTCCTTTGTTTCTAATTTGCAAAATAATACTCTCATTAATTATTAATTATTGAGGAATCATTTATTTAGAATTATATTTCTCGATTTCTGTATTTTGCACTGGTTTTCTGTTAAAACACCAACCTCCACACACTTTCTTCCTGAATCACTTATATGTGCTGATCAGTGTTCTAAGAATATTCCTAAGTTATGTCATCCAGACATTCTGGATCGCTTTAAAATTTTCTATTTTCATTTATCATTCAAACTGAAAATGGGATCTTTCTGCATCCTTTGAAAATGGTAGGATTAATGGGAAGTGGTGAAAGGAAAAGAAACCGCAAATTTTTGAGGAGCCATGATTTATTTTATGAGTACAGTCTTTTCAAACTAATGCTATGGTGCTAAGGGATCACTTAAAGAACTTGATTGGGTAAAATAGTATAAAACCTGTGATGGAAACAGCTATTTTTAAAATTATGTATTGACATGGCCGTTCAGTTGTGCGACATCTGTAGTATTTTGCTGATTTGGAACCAGATACACTTGTTAGTCATATTACCTTCAGTTGCTTTTCTAGTGTCATCTATAATTTTCTTTGTAGTACAGATCAGAAGAGTAGAGTTCAAGGATTTGGAGGGTGGAGTGGGGAGGTAAAGGGAGACCCAAGGTGGTGAGGGGAAAGGGCAATGGGTGGTTTTAAGAAGAAAGTTTATGTGTAAAAGTCAAGGTATAAAAATTTTTTGCTGTTATTCAACTTATTTAACCAATTATTTTCTGTTGCTCAACTCAAAATAGTGCATTGAATCTTGAAAGTAAATATTAGTTTTCCTAAAAGAAATTCTATCTGCAACAGACTAAACACTGAAAAGCATTTCTATAGGCAAAGTATGTTTTACTCTCGGTGCTCAGATGATGATACCTTTCCTATGATGGAAAAATACCTACATCTCTGTTACCTTTATGAACTAAGTAAATGGTCTTCCCATTAACCACATATGGACGCATCACCTTTCTGAGACTCAGTTTAATTATCTACAAAATGAGCGTGAACTCTAAGGTGCCTTCTAGGGCTGAAATTATATAATACAGTCATCATATTTAAATCAGTGATCAAATCATTTAAAATTAAGCGTGGTGGGGTTGAAACACTTTAGCATCCTCTCAAACCTGTCAAATTTTATTTGAGCATTGTGATAATTCATTCTAAATATTTCATCTTTACTTGAAAGGAAACAGGATAAATAACATGCAGTATTTACTGTCAGAGTTGTGACATAAGCAAGTAAGCAAAATATAATTCATGTCTCCTATTTTTTAACTTGCCTCATAATTAATATGTTTGTCACTGTGAACTACTGTATATATAATTGTTCGTGTTTCTATATTAACTGTCTTATCAAATTCTTTCCCCCTCAAGGATGTGTTGCTGGTACTCTAATAATTGGTACCATAATTCTAGTCAAAATTTTCTGGGGCAGTGGAAAATCAGGGTGAGCAGAAATTCTGATGATTTAAAAAAAATTATTCTTAGCTTCTTTCCAGTAAAACTTGACACTATGCCAGTAGATAACTTTCTTAGCTTAATTGCATTTTTTGACATGCTGTCTCTTTATTCCTTTTGTCTATGATTACTATGCTGGATGAACAGACTCTGTGTCTTAAAAAATTTTTAGATTTCTCAGTATATACGAGGACGTTAAGTGATTTGAAAGCCAAAGTCTCATTGCAATCTATTAATCAACTCACCATTTTCTCTACTCAGTACAATTTATGAGAGTATCTGTGTGTTGTACAGAAGCAAAAAAATTTAGAAAGAGAAACTCTAATGTATTGTTAAATTGCCTGTGACTAGGCCTATTAATAAATTGCATTTATTAACAGATGCCAGTCTAGCTAAAATCAGCCCAGTGGTTAAGAGGGCAGGCTCTGTAACCTGAGTGCTTGGTTCCAATTCCAGGTCTACTATTTAAATGCCATGTGGCTGTGAGCAGCTTAACCTCTCTATGCCTCAATTTTCTCGTTTGTAAAAATGGGGGAAATATAGTACCTACTTCATGGGAATGTAGTATCTATTTCATGGGATCAAATGAATTGCCATTTGTAAAGAGGTTTGAACCTTACTTGTCACGTGGTAAGCACTCGGGTGATAAAACAACAACACACAGGAAAAAAAATCAGTATTTGAAACATCTGATCTGCATTGAATTTACATGTGTTAAGTATAAAGTCATGGTTGGCTCTGATGTATCCTGTAGACAGAGTATTATTTCAATTGACCGTCTTCTGTTTTGTAGATTTTGTTGTTGAGAAAACTAATTGTGGAGTTCATATAAACTTGAATTCTTTCTGAAGCGCCCTAATACCTATGTTTTCATTACTTAATTAAGAACAACTATATTTTAATGCTGTTACTAAATTGCCTATTTCAATTCTTTGGATGATGTGAGGTATTAAGTTGGTACAGAAGTCTCAGCAAAACTACTCTGGAAAAAAGAATAAACCACCAATCTTCTCTACTTCCTTACATTTTGTCCAGTTCTCCTTTTGAATTGGAGCATTATTAATTTACTTCTAAAACCATTGCTCTGGGGCTTGGTAGGTGAGTGGGGTAGAATGTGATGAGTTGGCTCCCTCTTGGCTGTCTCTTGGCTATCATTACTTTTTTAGATACTTTGGTAAAATAATAGACCATCATATTTTTAATAGAATGAAAAGTGTTGAAATGTAGAAGGAAGGAATATTTGTTTTATATTTTATTGGGATTTTGCAGTAAACCTAATTCTTCTATTTCTGAATCAGAGGAAATTCATGCAAACCTCTAAGAAAGAATTTGCCTTTTTTAATGTGCACTTAAAAACACTCCACTTGCCTTATTTTGGAAGTATAAGATGTTGAGGATAAGAGCTAACTTTATACATTCCTGGTTATTCTCTCAATTTCATACTGATTTAATTAAAATTTGATCTTAATGAGACAGGAGAAAGAGTTAATGCATGTGAAGGTGTAATGTACCTTCACCTGGTGATCCTTTGTGTTTGCCTATCAAAGGATTTATTTACATCTTTTAGAAGTGTTGGATATATATGGTAAATTTTAGTTTATGAAAAGAATGTGATTGTAAGCAAATGCTGATACTGCTTTTTGAGTGAACTTAAACTTTTATAATTCAATCAGTATTTTCCTTCTCTACTATTCAGCTCTTACTACACACAAGAGAACAACAAAGCACTTAATGTTAAGTTTCATAATTTAACTGTGACTGGTGATGCTACGGAAGTAAGACCTTCTGTTAATTTACAACAGGTATATGGTTCAATAAAATCAATTTCTGTATCTTGGAAAATGTCCATTAACACAATTAGCTTGATATCTATCTGTGATTATTAAAGGGCAATAGAGGCTTAAACCTCTGTTATTGTCAGAATTGTTTTTCTTTGTTGAACGACTGACTAACACATTGAATCTTTCGTTAATATGACATGTCTTCAGTCTTCCACTCTTCAGCAGTACTCATTATCTCATCCTGTGCTTTATACTCAGTTTATTGAAATGATTAGATGCTCATAATGCTACAAGTAACTGGAAAAAACAAAAGGTTGATCCATTAGGACTTACAAATAGGAATGCCTTCATTGTGACTACTTGCATCATGAGATGATTGGCCCATATTGTATTTGCTCCTCTGTCTTGCTTGGTGACTTTTAAAGTTTCTAGTGTTTAAGAAATATTAAATCTATTTTAACGTGTCTTCTCTAAGTCAAGTTTACAGATCTTATTTGTTTTACATTGTTAGGCAAAATTATCACACAAAACTAACTTAATGTGTATGTACCTGTGAAACCTTCTAGGTGTCTTCTTTTGATTAAACTTTCTTCTGTTCCAGGGAGTTTTCACTGACTTTTAATCTGACAGTTTCTTAGTTGAATCCAGCTTGGCCACTTAATCTGAAGAAACTAAAAACTCAAGTGTCATGTTTTAGTTGGTATTGCTGTAGCTACCGAACTCTAAACTATGCTGGCTGAGGTTACGAATTTTGCATTTGTTTTGCACGCCAAATTAACCAACTAATTCTTTTTCGTGGTTTATCACATAGTAACTAAAAAATTAATGTTTATCACCAGTAAATAAAATTATTTTGATTTAAACTTTTTTTTAACTTTCAGGACAAACATGTATGACATTGACAGTTTTGCTTATGATGCTAGTAACTATTGGCTAACTGAGCCAAAGAAGAGTTGAGAAGAAAGTGCACATGAGCACACAGACTATTTCTAGTTTTGTAGAACTTTCTGGTGGAGTGAACACAGTGTACATGGTAGTGTTCTTCGTTTTGCATGTTATCTTGTCTTTAAGATGCATAAGAATGTCCACGAAGCAAGGAAAAATGAATCTGTCCTGGAATCACATTCTCAGCACTCTTAAGACTCTTGAAAATAGAAGAACTCACAAGATTGAGAGTGATTACTTTCATAAAAGTGTGGGAAAGTGGAGAGATTTGTTGATACTTAGAATGTGAGCAAGAAGAAAGGAAAAAAGTGAATTTTTTTTCAACAAATGTGTAATGTTATTTTTACTTACAAAGGACACAACAAATTAAAAACATTAATTGGATATTGAAACCAAATAAACCACTCTCTTCTAAGGAAAATTGCCAAAGAGTGATGAAACAGTATAAAATAATCCTTCCTGACTAAAAGGCACTTTCATCTTTTCTTATTCCATTAAAATGGGTCTGAATCAGTTGGCAAAATTTTTTAAAGGAAAAACATGGCAATGACCCAAGAGTGTTGAGTTTCTTGGGTTATTTGGTGACAAAGGAGGAATACAGAATGAAGGAATAATTCTTCCTTTGTCATACAAGTACAGATAGTGAATTAGCTCCTTATTTGTCAGATAGATCAGCTATAATTTTGTTCTTAAGACAATCAAAAAAAAAAAAAAAACAGCCCCTGAAAGGATGCAAGGTGTCTTTATTGACTTAATGTCTTTAAATGTCTCCAGAGATATTATAATATTAATATAAGAAAAGATTCTGTATTTCTTAAGTGAGATGTTCATATTCAAATTGTAAATCTTATTCTTTTGTAATATTAAGCTTAGTTTGTATTTATTTATATTTTACATGTATATCAAAAAAGTTCAAGAAGATACATAAAGAAAATTTGTTTTCCCTAAATAGAAATAATTGATCACATTTCTGTCTCAGGTGGTATTTGACATTTATTTTCTTAAATGTAAATAATTTACTTATAAATAAGAGAGTCCCTTCCTGCCTTTCATAAGTAGTTTAGAATGTCACCCTTTGGTTATCCTAGGATGAATCATTTTCAGTTACTTTTAATGTATCACTTGTTATTGATTTACCTAATGGCAATCACATCAATTTCCAGATTCTTAATATGTTCTTGTCATCTTGTCAATTACATGTTAAGTGTTGGGATAGACTAGAATATATAAGTAACTAAATTTAACAATAGTTATTTTGTCATATTGCTTCATCTTCTTTGTTGTTAAAGTATTTTAAAATAAATTCCATTAGCATCATGGCATTTCACTATACATACATAAATATGTATTTCTAACAATAAAGACTTTTTTTTCCTACCTAACCACTATCATCACAACTAACAAGATTAACGATAATTTCCTAATGGTTTCTAATTTTAGGAAATTCTTCTAACTTCCTTAAGAGTTCTGCAAATAGGCTCACATCCATCTATTAATTCATTTGTTTGTTAAATAGGAGGGCCTACTCTGCTTACTCTGTGACAATCTGCTGCTTCCTGGGGTAGTAGCAAGTATAACACTGATTCAGTTACTCATAAAAATACATGATGGGCTTCCCTGGTGGCGTAGTGGTTGAGAGTCTGCCTGCCGATGCGGGACACGGGTTCATGCCCCAGTCCAGGAAGATCCCACATGCTGTGGAGCAGCTGGGCCCGTGAGCCATGGCCGCTGAGCCTGTGCGTCCGGAGCCTGTGCTCCACAACGGGAGAGGCCACAACAGTGAGAGGCCCGCGTACTGCAAAAAAAAACAAACAAAAAAAACCAACAACAAAACACAAAACAAAAAAACATGAGAGCCCACTATGTGCAGGTTATAGTGCTAGAGGCTGAAGCTACCAAATGACTACCACACAGTGTCTACCCACACGTTGCTTATAAGACCAAAACGATAACACCTATTGAGAGAAAGAATGTAGAGTTATAAGTGTTGCACTTGTACAGAATATACGGAGTACCTAAGTTGTCTTTGCTAAGTGGATGAGTGGTGGGCTGAGAGCCATTCAGGACAGGATAAAAATTGAGAAAGGACAAGTAGATGAGATTCATCTTGGGGGATTGTGGACTGAAAACAGTGCAGCAAGCTCAAAGTAGGAAGGCTTGGAGAGAGGACTATGGTATGTCATGTGTTTAGTGTAAAAGTAAAATTATAAATTCCAAATAGCTTATTCTGCTGTGATTAAATTAAAAGTTGGAATCAATGGTCACAAGTTTATGGTAGCAAGAATTTTAGATATTGGGAAACATTGAACTTTGACAATAAAATACATTGAGTTAGCCTTTGTATCTTATTACTTAGATAAGGGTAAAAGCTGAAAAAATATCTAACAACCAGTTACCCTGAAGAAAATAATAATAGGAACAGGTATGGTAGGGATAGTGGGATTTTCTTGTAGGACTTATTATTTGTATCCTGTTATCATGAAGTTGAATAGTTTTATATTTTCCCAAGGTAAGCTCTCCTATAATATTATACTTTATTTTTAAAAATATATTTATTTGGCTGTTCTGGGTCTTAGTTGTAGCACGTGGGATCTTCATTGCCGTGCATGGGATCTTTAGTTGTGGCATGCAGGATCTTAGTTGCAGCATTCAGGATCTGGTTCCCTGACCAGGGATTGAACCTCGGCCCCCTGCACTGGGAGCATGGAGTCTTAATCACCAGGGAAGTCCCCTAAATATTATACTTTAATTGCCAAGATTGTATTGCCTTTACTCTCGAGACTGATAATTATTTGTTGTAAGAAATTATACTTGCTCACCACAGAAATTTGCATTTTATAATAGTTAACCCACAATTACTATCAAATTTCTTGGAACACTTGAACATTAGTAGTTTTTGTCTTATCGCACCCTGAGACTGTATTTTGGTGAATGCCCAAAGTGGAAACACCTCATTTTCCACCCGCCCACCTTGAGTGTTCCCTCCACCCCCTTGCCTAAATTAAAAACAGCATCTTCCCTAAAGTTGATGCTTCCTTTGCAGCCCATTCCAGTGGTGGCCGGTTCATTTTCAGGCTTCAGATGCCTCAGTGTTGAGAGGTGGTGGTGGTGTTTTCCTTGCTTCCCCTTGTCACTACTTCCATCTCAAGTCTCCTATATATTCTTTAAAAAGAGTAACTGTTCTTTTACTCTGGTAGGGTAATTAATTTATTAAAATGTTAAAAATTTTTCCCTGTAGTTTTTCCTCTCCCAATTCCAAGCAGCTAGCCAAATTTTGGTCTTCCTTGCCATGGGAACCTCATGACAAAATGGAAGCAGAAAACTTAAAGAAGCTTAAAGACAGCTCTCTTCCTTTGTTTTTGTTTTTTCTCTGAAATCCTAGCTTTCATCATAGACTAAGCTGTGGGGAGGGAGGTAGAAGCAGAACCAGGAAGAGAGAAGATTCCAGTAAACAACAAAGAAGACAGATGTTGCTCACAATCTCAAAGTCTCCAAGCCAAGCATCCTGAGGGTTTCTGGGGTGGAGAGGTAAGGACCCAGAGATGAGTGATGGGAATGCATCTTTTGAAGCCGCATATTTTGAAGTTAAGTTTAGCAGGATTTGCTAAAGCATTAGGTGTGCAGTTAAAAAGAAAGGAGTCAAGGATGACACCAAGATTTTTAGCCTGAGCAACAAGAAGGAAGAGGTTGCCATTTACAGAGCAGCGGAAGACTTTGTAAATGAAAGATCAGGAGTTTGTTTTTTGTTTTTAGACATGGTAAGTTTGAGATACCTTTCAGACATCAAAGTGGACATGTTGTATAAATAGTCAAAAATACAAATCTGGAGCTCAGAGAAGGTGTCCAGCCTTGATATATTTGGGAGTCGTCAATAGGAGAACATGTGTCAGGGAACCCAAGAAAGAAAGATGAAGATGAATATTCAACTTTCAGGTTTATAATATGGAGGCTATTGGTGGCCTTGTCCAAAATTCTTTCAGTACAGTGGTTGTGGGTAAATGCCTAGATTGAACCTTGCTGACACTACATTAATCAACTGATCAAAAGTAACATTACCAATAATGGGACAAATAACATGAAGTTGATCCTGATACAACACCTTGAGAAGAGCTCAGCGTCATTTGGGTGTGGTATTCCTGCTAAAAATATATACTCTAGAT